GACACCTTCTTCCTGAGGAATAATAATAACTCCCTCCCTGTAGACACACTTCTATAGGTACTCTTCTCCAAGGACATACTATGGACTCTTTCCGAGAAGATCCACCAATAAACACAACCGATTTGTCAGCTTGACTTTCTGTATTACAACACAATCCACTAATTTGCTTGACCCTGTGTTCTACAAAGGTAATATTACCTGTTAACTAATTCTTACACCCGATTGATTGCTTGACTCTGTGTTACAGCATCATCCATTTGTTTGCTTGATCTTTAGTTTTACGATCAAAATTCCGCTTTTTTGCTGGACACTGTGAACCTGGTGGTTTGCTTATACAAAATGATTTGAATATAAAACATTGCATCTCATTTAAATTACCAACAAAGTGCCCCCCTCCCACTCACTCATACACACAAACACCAAGATATAGGTTTTTGAAAAAGTAATCTCACCATGACCAGTGAACATGGATCAATAAGCCATGGTTATTTAATTGATAAATAAGATTAAAAACAAATAGTAAAGTTGTGTATAAGTTGCTACACACGTGTGTATGTTAGTGTGACGACAGGGGGACTTACAATGTCACACCATAACGTTACACACTGCTATATATAGGTATTAATAGTAACGCCACTATTCAATAGTCACCGACTCCTGTCACCTGTACGTACCACTCTGGATCCTTTACCTGACACCGAGCATCAGCTAAGTTAAACAGTTTTCACCATCAAAAGGAATTACTAATGAGATTTACCTGAACGTAATGAAAATTTGCATGGACAGCCATTAATACAGGTAAGAGATTTAATAAAAAAAAGAAAAGATTATCAACACACACACTGAATACTGAGGCTGGTAGAGGTAACAGATTAAGTATACATATGATGTGATATGTATGATGTAGAAGATGATTTTCATTTTATTTTGAAATGTCTTTGATATGCTGATATAAGACCTGAATTCATCAAAAGAAAATATGTTAATCAAGCTAGCATATTTACATTTGTCCAAATACTAAACAGTAATGATCAAAATGTTATAAATTTGATAAATATTTTGTAAATAGAGTCAAAAAAAGTTCCCTAATAATCATGTTACTGGTCTGTGGTTTTCATTACCATACTCTTATTACTGGTCTGTGGTTTTCATTACCATACTCTAGTTACTGATCAGTGTGCATTACCATACTCTAGTTACTGGTCAGTGTGCATTACCATACTCTAGTTACTGGTCAGTGTTCATTACCATACTCTAGTTACTGATCAGTGTGCATTACCATACTCTAGTTACTGGTCAGTGTTCATTACCATACTCTGGTTACTGATCAGTGTTCATTGCCATACTATAGTTACTGGTCAGTGTTTATTACCATACTCTAGTTACTGATCAGTGTTCATTGCCATACTATAGTTACTGGTCAGCGTTCATTGCCATACTCTAGTTACTGATCAGTGTTCATTACCATACTCTAGTTACTGGTCAGTGTTTATTACCATACTCTAGTTACTGGTCAGTGTTCATTGCCACAATGTCTGAATATATGATATATCTTATGTTTTCCTCAGTTTATATTGTACTGTAAATCTGTTGTAACTGATCAGTTAGAAGACTTCTAACCTTGAAACATGACACCTCTAATTACCAGGCGATTTAGCTACCGCTGGAATATTCCATAAATACATTGTATGCTATTGCTATGTTAAATTACTGAAGGATATAAAGACTTAAGCTGTGTTATGTAGCCGATTTTATAAGATATATTTCCTTATAGTAAGTAGGACACTTAATAAGGGGTCCAGTGCCTGAAATATTAATTAAGAACTTAAAACTGTGTTAAATCAGATTGAAAAAGATATAAGAATAGTTACGTTAACAATTTAGTTATTAAAAAAAACAACAAATTATTGACATTTTCATCCACATTTTATAACGAGTTGTCAATAGTTTCTATTGATATCAGCAACCTATCACTCCATCAACATTTTACTCTGAATAAGTTTAATGTGTGTAAGCCCCACTCCATCCTCTAGAACAATCTAGAACTGTAAGCCAAAGGCTAACTAATACCCCCGCCCCAATATAAACCAGAACTGTAAGCTAAAGGCTTATTTATGCAAAGCAATATAGTCTCCCACCAGTAATGAGTTTATCACTATTTTATTAAAATCAAAAACATAAAATGACAAAAAAAACACAAGTATTTCGCACAAAGGGGCATAACTCCATCAAAAAGGGTCGAAATCCAAAATTAAAATGCCGGTGCACAACTGCATAAGATACTGATCATTCATGTAAAGTTTTAATGAAATCCACCTGTTAGTTAAGGAGGAGTTTTGCGGAAGACAGACAAACAAACAAACAGACAAACAGGGTGATTCCAGTATACCCCCTAACTTCGTTGCGGGGGTATAATAATGTTTCGTGTGATGAATAAAACGTTTATATACAGAACTTCCTGAGCATGGAATGGTTTGTTATCCTATTTATCTCAATTAAGTTCAAAGATACAAGGCTTAGCAAAGGAGTCATGGAATCTCTTTATCCTATGACTTTTATTTATCTAAAAACATATTTGTTTACATTTTATCTGTGACCTTTTCAGCATGCAATCAGTTTGAATAATGAAATGATAAAAAGTACATTGTTGTTGAAAATAAATCTGTTTCCAATGGTATAATTACTGAAATGAAAAACAATATAGCATTGGTTCTTAATATTTTGTTGCTAGGAACTATATCTAATTGTGCATCATAAAAAGCATCCAAGATAAAAGATGACTAATGAAAAGCATCCAAGATAAAAGATGACCAATGAAAAGCCTTGAAAAAGTGGTAAACATACATCACACAGCTATTTTAATCAGATAAATTACTCCCAGTTATAGGATTATATATATTAATTATCTTGGTATGTTAAACTTGGCAGAGATTGGAGTTTAAGCTTTCTAGAGAAGTCCAGTAACCAGGGTAGATATGTCACCAGTAGTTCCTGTTCACATTGTTGTACACGTTTATTAATTATACACCGACGTAGTATTAAAACTTTCACCACTGTAGACCATAATGGACTCATCCAGATCAATGCATGGTAGAGTCTACTAAAGTTACACAGGGGTGAAAGGGTTAAGGCAATTGCTTTCTTAACAATATCTACCCCTTTCACAGGAGATTTGCGGGATCACAAGAAAATTGGTCTGGAACAATGCCAATAAATCAACTGGTACAGCGAGTTTGTCAGTTTGTCGTGGCCAGCAATAACCAAAATATACCCTACATTTGATACGTTACTATTGTGTCTATATGGATCGTGAGGATTTAATTACAATCTAATTAGATATTGTTAATACGGACACTCCCTGAACCATTATGGACACTCCCACTGATAACTGCTGACCAGACAGTGTGGTAGCATTCTATACCGTGTTTTTGTTACCTTAATTTTTCCAACAGCCTGTTAATTCCTTTATGAATTGGGGAAATATAGCATTATTTGTATTGAAAATGGGAATATTTTCCTCAGTTTTTGGTTATTTTGGGGAAAATGAGGTACTTTATAGCTAGGGGAAACAGCCTGTATTCGGCAGTAAAACTGAGCAAAAAAAATAATTTCTATACATTATCTATATATATTATACCAGCTTCTCTAGGGTACCTTTATTGTTTTACAATTGAGAGTTCATTTAACAACTCTTGTTTACACCATGAACATTGATAATTACTTTGTTTAGACAGGTTATGATCCATACTTTGTCCATGTAAACAATTCAGATTAAATCTTGCTGATCCCACAACTTCTCCATTTAGATAGACAGATTGTAACTCCATACCATGTCAATGTAAACAAATTGGAGAACTAACAAATCATTTAAAACAGTTGTGACCCACACAATGTCAATATAAATGTTACTGGAGAAGAAAAAAGTACATGGCCAGACTGGTTTGAAACCAAATCCACTAAAAAGCAACCTGGTCATCAGCGATCAACCGTGTCCAGTTCTGCGACATAAACAAGTCACTGAAAACTGAACAAAAATCTGTTTAAACAGGTATTGACCAATGATCTTTTTTACGTCAATACAACAGTTAAAATTCCACATTACTGTCTCTTTATAGCAGGGTTAATCTGTTTTAATAATTATGATATTGATGTCACCGTCTTGGTTTTAGATTTGGTATCACGTATAATAACTTGCCATTAAAACTAGACATCTTGTCTTACATATACTTTGATATAAAAATGGGAGGGCCTAGTAAATTGTAAGAACTTGTGCCCAATCTATTTGGCTGTTTAATGTCAATAAAATATGTTTGAATGAATGAAAATACTGCTACATTGTAGTAACACCATATTTGGTATGGTACTGCTTTGATGTTAGTATCAATGTCACAACCTGTATTGCCTGTAAATGAGAATTCCAGTGGTAGATTACACTAAGCATCTATCTCAGATAATATAACAGTAACCATGGACCGAGTGTTTAATTATAAAGTCTTTACCCCCACCATAGACCTCCATATATACTAACACTGCTATATAAACTCTCTGTACAGACGTAGCAGGAGTAATGTATGCCCCATATGTATGGAGAAGCTTTATACTAGCTGTCTGTTGGACCAGATAAGGTCTAATGAAGCAAATCTTTTGAATGTGGTGTATCTCAGATATATGGGCGTATATTGTAAGATAGATTAAACCTCATATACATGCTGGTACACCTTTAATAAGAAATTACATTATTAGCATAGATGGAGACTTCAGATTACCACACAAACTCTACACCCAAATGTTACCCGTAGGAGAATACCCACCTTAAGATTGCTGTATAGACTCCCTATCCATTCCCTACCAACAAAAATATCAACCAAACCTCACCATCAGGAGGTTACCTTCAACTCCCGACCCAATCCTCACCATCAGGAGGTTACCTTCGACTCCCCCCCCCCAATCCTCACTCTCAGGAGATTACCTTCAACACCCCACCCAATCCTCACCATCAGGAGGTTACCTTCAACTCCCCACCCGATCCTCACCATCAGGAGGTTACCTTCAACTCCCCACCCAATCCTCACCATCAGGAGGTTACCTTCGACTCCCCCCCAATCCTCACCATCAGGAGGTTACCTTCGACACCCCACCCAATCCTCACTCTCAGGAGATTACATTCAACACCCCACCCAATCCTCACCATCAGGAGATTACCTTCAACACCCCACCCAATCCTCACCATCAGGAGGTTACCTTCAACTCCCCACCCGATCCTCACCATCAGGAGGTTACCTTCAACTCCCCACCCAATCCTCACCATCAGGAGGTTACCTTCGACTCCCCCCCAATCCTCACCATCAGGAGGTTACCTTCGACACCCCACCCAATCCTCACT